TAAGAGGATTTTTTTTCCCTTCTGAGTAGTGAAATGTATGAGAAAAAGTTGCAAAATAAAAAAAAATCACTTTTAATCAGACATTTCACCTCTTGCCTTCATTAAGGAATCATGGTTACAGGAAGTGGCATGGTTTCAGAAACTCCGGAGGGGGAGGGCAATGACTGTATTTTGGGGGTGCCAAGTTAGAGTTCCAGGAGAGATGACTGGGGCAAGAGAATTGGGACCAGTTAGGAGAACTTGCAGGCTGGGCTGGCGAGACTCCGCCGGATCCTGTTGACAGAAGAAAGCCCCACCATTTTAGGAAGATAAGGTGGAATAAGTCTTCTGCAGGAGGATTGCAGAGAAGTAGAGGGTTGAAGTCTCCACAGATGGACACTTCCTTTGTGCTCCATGGGGTAGGACCCTTCTTAGTGTCCTCTTACCTATGCTGTGCCCTGAAACCATGGGCCCTGCCTTAAAGGGTCAAGAGAGAGAGCAGACACTTCATTCATTCACTAATGTTTATTGAGCACCTGTGGGTTTTGGCTGGGACATTAATGTGTATGTCTACCCAAAATTGGCTGCAGAAGTTTGAAAGTGAGGGATTCAGACTCAGTTTCTATGGAGGCATACTGGAGGGGAGTCTGAGGAATGCTGGAAAGCACAGGAGCCCCTTGTGAAAAGATACCCACCACAAACCACAGGGCTTACTTTTTTTTTTTTTTTTTGTCGGTCGTGGGGCTTGAACACTGGGCCTGAGTGCTGTCCCTAAGCTCTTGAGCTCAAGGCGAGCGCTCTACCACCTGAGCTACAGCGCCACTTCCGGTTTTCTGGTGGTTTATTGGAGATAGGAGTCTCACGGTCTTTCCTGCCCGGGCTGGCTTTGAACAGCGATCCTCAGATCTCAGCCTCCTGAGTAGCAGGGCTTACTTTTTATAAGTACATTAGTTCTGTGTATGTGTGTGTGTGTGCACGTGCGTGTGCCCATCAAGGCTGGGGCATTAATTTCTCACAACAAATCTATGAGGGTGGCTGGGTCCCAGTAGCTTACACGTATAATCCTAGTTACTCAGGAGGCTGAGACCTGAGGATCAAGGTTTGAAGCCAGCCTCGGAGGGAAAATTCAATGAGACTCTTTCATCTCCAAGTAACCAGGAAAATTCAATGAGACTCTTTCATCTCCAAGTAACCAGCAAAAAGCTGAAAGTGGAGGAAAAAGTCCAATGAGAGCATGAGGCCCTGAGTTCAAGCTCCAACACACACACACACACACACACACACACACAACTCCATGAGGCTGCTTCTCCAATCATTGCTACTTGGCAGATGTAGAAACTGAGACATAGAGAGCAGAGCTAACTTGCCCAAGGTCACACAGTACCAAGATTTGAACTCAGGCAGTGGGATCCCCGACTCTCTGTACCTCACCGTCCAATTAGGAATCTGTTGTGTGAAGTTGGGGTGGGGAGAGGCAGGTAATTGAATGTTTCTACAGCCTCATGAAGGTCCCATTTGCCTGAAGGTGGTTTGGGTCACCCAATCTGCTGTAAGGGATTGATTGCCTTGGAGTTCCGGGCAGGAGGGGAAGAGGGACATGCACCCTAGAAGATGAGGGTCAGGGAGCCGGCCGGGGCAGTGGGGAAGGGCTGAGGCTCCTCCCTCTGTGCCTTGTCCCACAGGATGTGGCTGAAGCCCTGGGAGGGGGTGCGGATCCAGAAATCAACTCAACCACGAACAGCAGCCACTCAGTCTGGAACCTGGGCAGCGCCTTCTTTTTCTCAGGGACCATCATCACTACCATTGGTGGGGGAGGAGATACGGCATGTGGAGGGGCGGTAGAGGGCAAGGAGTTACCTTCTGGGGGACGGCAGGGAGAGGTAGGGGCGCCAGGCGACACCTCCCCTTCTTGCACTGCTCCTCTGCGCAGGCTACGGCAACGCAGCCCTGCGCACAGATGCCGGGCGCCTCTTCTGCATCTTTTATGCCCTGGTGGGGATCCCGCTGTTCGGGATCTTGCTGGCAGGGGTCGGGGACCGGCTGGGCTCCTCTTTGCGCAGAGGTATTGGCCACATCGAAGCAATTTTCCTGGTGAGCTGTTCCGGGCCCCTGGTGCACTTGTGCTGGGGGTGAAGATTCCCTCCCCTAGGTCCCCAGTAAGTGAGATGTCTGGAGCCTCCCCTGAAGCACCCCATCCCCACACCCCCGGGGAGGCAGGGGTTCGGAGAAATGGGAGTGGAGGGGGTTGTGGACCTGGTGGTCCTGCCTGCCGCCCCTCCCTGCAGAAGTGGCACGTGCCCCCGGAGCTGGTGCGGGTGCTGTCCGCGATGCTCTTCCTGCTCATCGGCTGCCTGCTCTTTGTCCTCACGCCCACGTTCGTGTTCTGCTATATGGAGGACTGGAGCCAGCTGGAGGCCATCTACTTTGTCATAGTGACGCTTACCACTGTGGGCTTTGGAGATTACGTGGCGGGTAAGGTGCTGTGTTTCCTGTCTGCTTTGTTTCCTGTCCCGGAGCTCTGCCGTCTGGGTGCTCCCTTCAAGTCCCACGTGGAAACTGTGCTCCAACTCCTACATGGGAGTCAGGCGACAGTGCATGCAGCACCTGTGCACGCGAACATCGTGATACATCCATGTCCTGTGTATGCACATACTGCACGCACAGATGGCCATTGTCCACCTCACAGGTGTGTCATTCATCCAAAGGGGCATTTTTCCGTGGCAAGTTTGCCGCGCACACCTTCAATGCTGCATTCATCTTCCAGTTCACATTTGCACAATTAGCTCTTTCCCCCTCCCCCACATTCATTTGCACACATTAGCATCCACCCTGCGGAGGGCTCCCTCCCCTCACTCAGTGAGGGTCAGAGACCTTCAGTGATCCATCCACCACCCCCACACAGCCAGCAACTTGTTTTTTCCTTCCCTGGTGGGACCCCAGGCGCTGATCCAAGGCAGGACTCCCCTGCCTACCAGCCGCTGGTGTGGTTCTGGATCCTGCTTGGCTTGGCCTACTTCGCCTCGGTGCTCACCACCATTGGGAACTGGTTGCGTGTGGTGTCTCGCCGCACTCGGGCAGAGGTAGGCGCTCCTGGCTAGTGCTGCAATGCGCCTGTGCTACCACTGGTGTATTAAGGCCTGCTGTGGGCTCTCATGGGCCTGGCCGCCTCCCTGGCAGTGTGCAATCCTGGAGTTGGGGGGCTGAGTGACACCTCGTGTGTGCCCAGAGAGGTAAACGCAAGTATGCTCGACCCCTTCTGCCCTCATGGACGGGGTTGGCAGATTTAGCAAATTAAAAGGGAAAAAAATGCAGGAAGTCCAGTTAAACATGAATTTCAAATACCCTAAAATTGTATTTGTTATTGATCTGAAACTCACATTTATTTAACTGGTTGGCCTGCATTTTGCTGCCCTGGTGCAAGCACCTGGCTACGTACAGGCAGCGAAGATCTCAGGACTGGACAGGAAGCTGAAATAAAACTGGGGCTCTGAAAGAGAGCAGGGCGCTGGTGCCTCAGGCCTGTTATCCTAGCTATTTCAGGAGGCTGACATCTGAGGATCCAAGTTGGATGCCAGCCGTGGGCAGAAAAGTGTATGAGACTCTTATCTCCAAGTAAGGGCAAAAGGCTGGAAGGGGTGTTGTGGTTCAAGTGGTAGAGCACCAGTTCTTGGGTAAAAAAAAACAACTCAGGAACAGCACCGAGGGCCTGAGTTCATGCTCCAGTAGCAGGATAATAATAATATTCCGGTGCTTTGTAGAAAGATGGTTGCAGGAGGGGTTACTTCTATGCAGATGCAGAAAGGTGTGAGGCGCCCTCCCACAGGCTCCGCCTGCCCGGTGAAGGGACAGCGCGGGCTGGCAGTCTGGAGAGGACCCTTGGTCCAGGATTACTTTTCCGCAGATGGGCGGCCTCACTGCCCAGGCTGCCAGCTGGACAGGCACGGTGACCGCACGGGTGACGCAGCGGGCCGGACCCCCCGCGCCGCCGCCGCCGCCAGAGAAGGAGTGGGTGCTCCTGCCTCCGCCGTGCCCACCGCCGTGCCCATCGCCGCCCGTGGGCCGGCCCCCGTCCCCCGGGCTGCCGGAGAAGAAGGTGGCGGCGCCCTCCCCGCCCACCGCCTCCGCCCTGGACTACCCCAGCGAGAACCTGGCCTTCATCGACGAGTCCTCCGACACGCAGAGCGAGCGCGGCTGTGCCCTGCCGCGCGCGCCGCGCGGGCGCCGCCGCCCTAACCCCCCCAAGAAGCCGGCCCGGCCCCGGGGCCCCCGGCGACCCCGGGACAAAGGCATGCTGGCGGTGTGACGGCCAGATCCCAGCTCGGACCCGCGAAGGGCTCTGTCCCTGAACTCTCCCCTACCCCGGCATGCTTGGCTTGTTCGACCAAAGAGCCCTCTTTCCTGGATGCCCGAGCTCGGGGCCGGGGGTCACCGAGCGGCCTCCCCGCCCCCAGCCCCTGCCCCACTTCTGGCTCTCCCCGGACCCCCCCCCGGCCTTTCTGTGTCGCTGCCCCGGCCAGGCTGGTCCCTCGCGACACCTCACGACTGTGCCTCCAAGCCTGCATCAATAAACGAGCAGTCTGCACCGCGCGGGCCGTGCGCTGGCTGCGGGACCGGGCTGCGGGGCTCCCCACCGGGGCGCGCACGGCCGGCCTTCGGTGACCCTCCTCCCCCAGGATCCATCCGGTGGGGAGGGAGGAAGGGAGGGCTGGGGGGAGGTCACGTCTTGACCTGGAGGTGACCCCGCAGGGTCCGGGGTCAGAGTCGGTCAAGGAAGGGGGGGCTGGGCGCCTCGGATCTCCGCGCGCGGAAGGGGTGCGGGTGCGGGGGTTGGAGGGACGCGGGAGGGCGCGTGGCGTCCGCGGTGAACTCTCCGGGTGGGGGACGCCACCCCCCCCACCCAGGGCCCGCCATTCCGCAGACCCTCGCCGCCCCTCCCCCGCGGCGGAGCGTGACCCCCGCCCCGCCCCCCGACCCCGCCCCGCCCCGAGACCAGCGGCCTCTGGTTCCGTTGCGGGCGAGAATCATGGACGGGGAAAAGCCTCTCAAAGTAAGGACTCTTCCCTGCGCCCCCTGGCCCGGCACCCGGAGGAAACTGGCACCCTCCCCTCCCCAACACTTGTCCCCGTTCCCATCCCCGCCCCACCCGGCCCCCCTCTCCCTCTGCGCCCCGGCTCCCCACTGGTCTGTGGCCCACAGGGGGCGCCGAAGCCTTCGGAGCGCCGGGGCAGCCCGGGCAAGGCCACCCTGACCAGCCACATCCTCAACCTGTGGAGCACCGCCACGCTGCTGCAGCCGCAGGTGAACCTGTCGCTGGCCGAGATCTGCGAGAACTTCGACGACGAGGGCCGAGACGTGGGCAAGATCCGCCGGCAGAAGAGCCAGTCCCTCACCTCCAGGCCCCAGGAGCTGGAGGAGCAGGCCCTGCTGGACCTGGAGTTGCACGGCTGCAACTCCATAGAAGGCCTCCGGGAGAAGCGGCCCGAGGACATCAGTACCGAGGCCAGTCAGTGTGAGTTGGCCAGACCTTGGGCACCCGCGGGGCAGGGCGGGGGCGGGGTGTGTGTGTAGGGATGGGGAGGGTCTCAATTTCCCATCTGTAAAATGGGGGCGGGCCGGTGTGGGGGGGGGAGCCAGATGGAAGTTTCTCAACTTCCCTGGGAGGGGCGCTAGAGAGAATCCTCCATCCTTTAATGCAAAGAGGCATTCCTCGGGTGCCCCCTACCGGCCAGTCAGAACCCACATTTGGGGGGCGGGTTGAGGGGGGAGGCTTTGGATCTGGTTGTTGGTTTATTTGTGATGCTGAGGTTCGAATCCCGGTCCTCATACAGGTTAAGCGAGCACTCTGCCACTGAGCTTCGATTCCCCAACTTCCCTCCCTCACCTCCACACACATTTGATAAACTCAGGGCTCCACTCTTGCTAGACTGGCTTTCTACCAACACATCTGGCTTTTTGCAGGTTGTTTGGAGACAAGAGTCTCTTAGATTTGTCTGCCCTGGTTGGCTTCGAAACATGATCCTCCATATTTCAACACCTTGAGTAGCTGAGATTAAAGGTGTGAGCCATTGGCATCTGCTTCCCTAGATTTGAATGGACTCATGGAGCCAGTTGAAGGAGTTATTCTCTGTCTAAAGATTTGCACTGAGGCCGGGCGCTGGTGGCTCACGCCTGTAATCCTAGCTACTCAGGAGGCTGAGATCTGAGGATTGAGGTTCAAAGCCAGCCCGGGCAGGAGAGACCGTGAGACTCCTATCTCCAATAAACCACCAGAAAACCGGAAGTGGCGCTGTAGCTCAAGTGGTAGAGCACTCGCCTTGAGCTGAAGAGCTGAGGGACAGCACTCAGGCCCAGAGTTCAAGCCCCACGACTGACAAAAAAAAAAAAAGACTTGCACTGAGGTCACTAGTGTGTGTGTGTGTGTGTGCGTACGTGTGCAAGCATGTGAGTGCACGCTGGTCCTGGGCTTGAAACTCAGGGCCTGGGCACTATCCCTGAGAACTTTTGTGCTACAGCTCCTTCCTTCCTTCCTTCCTGGGCACTATCCCTCAGCTCTTCAGCTCAAGGCTAGCACTCTACCACTTGAACCACAATGCTACTTCCTGTTTTTTGGTGGTTTATTGGAGATAAGAGTCCCACGGATGGGCTGGGAAGGTGGCTCAGTGGTAGAGCTCTTGCCTTGCATACATGAGGCCCTGGGTTCGATTCCTCAGCACCACATAAGCAGAAAAAAAAAGGCCAGAAGTGGCACTGTGGCTCAAGTGGTAGAGCACTCTCCTTGAGCTGAAGAGCTGAGGGACAGCGCCCAGGCCCAAAGTTCAGGCTCTAGGACCAGACCCCAAAACAAAAACAAGAGTCCCATGGATGTTCCTGCCAGGGCTGGCTTTGAACTATGATCCTCAGATCTCAGTCTCCTGAGTAGCTAGGATTACAGGAGTGAGCCACTGGGCTGGCTGTTTACAATTTTTAAGCACCTACCACAGTATCTTTTTTGGGGACTTGTTACCCCTACTTGATCTCTCCACCTTCACTAGAAAATAAGAACTAATAACTGTGTAACATTTTGAGCATTTGCTTTATATCAGATATTAGGGTTCCTTGCATAATTACCTCTAAACCTCCCAACTGTTACAGGAGGCCCTCCCAGGCTGGGGATACAGCTCAGTGGTAAAGTTCTTACCTAGCATGTGCAAGGCCCAGGTTCAATCTCTAGCACTGCATAAATAAAAACAATGTCATTAGAGGCCATTCTTATGACTCCATATTGCAGATGAAGAACCTGAGGGCAAGAAATTTCCAATTGTTGGCCCTAAGTGGGAGAGGCGGAACAGAAATCCAGGTAGGTGGAACTCTAAAGCCCAGGCTTGTAGCCCTTGCCCCATCCTGACTCCCAACTGAGGTAGCATGCACAACTGGTCTTCTACCCATCCATCTCCTCTGCTCCAGGGAAGACGGAGGAGTCTGCCGATGACTAACTCCTCTTTTCTTTTCTCTAGAAAAGTGTTCTTCAGAGTCATTAATCAGTCTCTCAAAGAACGTACCCCATCGAGCCTATTGGACAGAACAGCAGAACAGGGTTAGAGGGGTCTAAGAATACTGGGGAGGTGGTTAGAGAATGGAAGATGACAAGCAAGCTGAGAGTTAGAGGAAGGGTGGAAATGGTTGGCAGAGGGGAAAAGAAATAAGGTGGGGCTCCGATGGCTCTCACCTGTAATCCTAGCTACTCAGGAGGCTGAGATCTGAGGATCACGGTTCAAAGCCAGCCTGTGTAGAAAAAGTCCATAAGACTCATCTTCAGGGCTGGGAAGGTGGCTCAGTGGTAGAGCGCTTGCCTTGCATGCATGAGACCCTGGGTTCGATTCCTCAGCACCACATAAGAAAAAAGCTGGAAGTGGCGCTGTAGCTCAAGTGGTAGAGCGCTAGCCTTGAGCTGAAGAGCTGAGGGACAGCACCCAGGCCCAGAGTTCAGGCCCCACGACTGGACCCCCCAAAGAAAAGAAAAAAAAGAAAGACTCATCTTCAATTAACCATCCAAAGGCCAGATTTGGAGCTATGGCTCAAGTGGTATAGTACTAGTCTTGAGCAGAAAAGCTCTGGGACAGTGCCTAGGCCCTGAGTTTAAGTTCTGGACTAGCACGCACACGCATGCACGCGCACACACACACGCACGCACATGAAAGAAAAAAAGACAAAAAGAGGAAGGAAGCTGGTTGGGGGTCGAGTTTCGAGTTTTTAGAGATCATTTATCCTGTGGGCAGTGCTGGGGCTCCCCTGATGCCTGAAGTTTTGTCTCACTGCTTTTAGCTGCCACTGCCCCTGATGGAACTCATGGAGAATGAAGCTCTGGAAATCCTCAACAAAGCCCTCAAAAGTGAGTCTCCCTCTTTGCCAGCTTCCACAAAAGCTCCTGGGGAATTGTACAGGACTTGGGTGAAGGTGGATGTCGGGATGTGTCTGCCGTGTCAGATCTCCTTAGCACTGACAATGACTCCAAGGATCCCATTACTGTTAAAAGTTGAGAATTCAAGCTGGGTGCTGTGGGCTCAACATGTAATCCTGGCTATTCAGGAAGCTGAGATTGGGAAAACTCATGTTCCAGGCCAGCCTTGGCAACAAAGCTCATTTATGACCCCATCTCATTGGAAAAAGCTGAGCATAGTGGTGGTGGGTGTCTGTCACTCTAGTTATAGAGAGAAATACAAAATCAAATTTTGGTCTAGGCTGAGAAAAGAGCAAGATCCTATCTCAAAAATAAGCAGACCAGCCGGGCGCTGGTGGCTCACACCTGTAATCCTAGCTACTCATGAGGCTGAGATCTGAGGATCGCGGTTCAAAGCCAGCCCAGGCAGAAGAGACCATGAGACTCCTATCTCCAATAAACCACCAGAAAACCGGAAGTGGCGCTGTAGCTCAAGTGGTAGAGCGCTCGCCTTGAGCTGAAGAGCTGAGGGACAGCGCCCAGGCCAGAGTTCAAGCCCCACGACTGACCCCCCCCAAAAAAAATAAGCAGACCATTTGGGCTGGGAAGGTGGCTTAGTGGCATGCATGAAGCTCTGGGTTCAAGTCCTCAGTACCATATACACAGAAAAAGCCAGAAGTAGTGCTGTGGCTCAAATAGTAGAGTGCTAGTCTTGAGCAAAAGGAACTCAGGAACAGTGCCCAGGCCCCAGGACTGGCAAAAGAAAGAAAGAAAAAAAAAATGGAGCCCCCGCCTAGTGAGTTGAAGACCTCAGTTCAGACCTCAGTACTGCCAAAAACAAAAAATAAAGTTTAGGCACAGAAAAACCCAATGTGGGAGGTATGGGGTGACTGTCAAAGGTCTTTTTTTTTTTTTTCCTTTGGTCGTGGGGCTTGAACTCTGGGCTTGGGCGCTGTCCCTCAGCTCTTCAGCTCAAGGTGAGCACTCTACCGTTTGAGCCACAGTGCCACTTCCAGTTTTCTAGTGGTTTATTGGAGATGAGTCTCATGGACTTTCCCTGCCTGGGCTGGCTTTGAACTGTGATCCTCAGATCTCAGCCTCCTCAGTAGCTAGGATTATAGGCATGAGCCACCAGCACCTGGATTTTTTTTTTTTGTCAGTTGTGGGGCTTGAACTCTGGGACTGGACACTGTCCTTCAGTTCTTCAGCTCAAGGCTAGAGCTCTACCACTTGAGCCACAGTGCCACTTCCAGTTTTTTCTGTTTATGTGGTGCTGAGGAATTGAACCCAGGGCTTCTTGCATGCATGGAAAACACTCTACCACTGAGCCACCTTCCCAGCCCCTGTCAAAGGTCTTTTTTTTTTTTTTTTGGCCAGTCGGGGGCCTGAACTCTGGGCCTGGGTGTTATCCCTCAGCTCATCAGCTCTTCAGCTCAAGGCTAGCACTGTACCACCTGAGTCACAGTGCCACTTCCGGCCTTTTCTGCTTATGTGGTGCTGAGGAACTGAACTCGGCCTCATGCATGCAAGCACTGAGCCACCTTCCTAGCCCCCTGTCAAAGGTCTTAATTGTGCCCCTCTCTAGCTGGTATGGATATCTAAGGCTGTTCTTCACCTGCCCAATGGTATGACAGCCCTTGGGTCCCTTCTAGGTGTGGAAATAAATGTACTAGTCTTTGGATTCTTGGGAAAAACTTTTATTTTTTGGTTGGTTGTGGGGTTTGAACTCTGGGCCTGGGCAAGTGCTCTACCACTTGAGCCAAGCACCACTTCCATTTTTCTGGTGGTGAATTAAAGAGTCTCACTGACTTTCCTGCCTGAGCTGGCTTTGAACCAGTATCCTCAGATCTCAGCCTCCTGAGTAACTAGGATTACAGGTGTGAGCCACTGGCCCCTGGCAAACTCTTTCTTTCTTTCTCTCTTTCTTTCTTTTCCTTTCTTTCTTCCTTTCTTTTTTTGCTGATTCTGGGACTTGAACTCAGGGTCTGGGATCTGTCCCTGAGCCTCTCTGTGCTCAGGGCTAGTGCTCTACCACTTGAACCACAGTGCCACTTCTGGCTTTTTCTAAGTATGTGGTGCTGAGGAATCCAACCCAGGGCTTCATGCATGCTAGGCAAGCACTCTACCACTGAGCCACCTTCCCAGCCCGTGGAATTTTAATTAAGTAGTTGTAAAAGGGGTTACAATTCTGAGTAGAGTTATGAGTATAGGGCTTCTTGGACAATGTCGTCCTTTCCTTTGTGGTAAACTTTTTAATGCCATAGGGCTCAGCAAAGAGAAAGGACAGGATGATTAAAGTGTGTGTTTCGGATGTCCTTAAAGCTGCTGGTTCACACGGCCCAAGTTCGGGCCAGAAGCAGCATCTTTAACCTTGGTGGTTAGCTTTCCTTCACCGATCACCGCGGAGGTCCGGCGGGACCCACAGGAACACAGACCCAGGCGCCTGCGCTGCGGGCATCCCAAAGCAGCTGCAGTTCCTCAGCTGACACCCGAGGCGCCGCCTGGCGGGGTGCGGGGGAGGCCTTGGGGTGCCCGCTGCCCTGAGCTCGGTTCTGCCCTGTTCCTAGGCTACCGGTCCCAGATCGGCAAAAACCACTTTCTGACTAAGGAGCTGCAGCGGTACATCGAGGGGCTCAAGAAGCGCCGGAGCAAGCGACTGCAGTGCACATCCTAGCAAACCTCGACTCCCGCCCGCCCCGCCCCAGCCCAGCCCCCTCCGCGTGAATATGAACCCTAGAGAAAATAAAAAGTGTCGGTGATCCCTGAGTCAGTGCGTGGCTGCCGCGTGAGGCGGACGCACGTGGCCCCGCCCTTCCCCGTGACCTTCATTCGGTCACCGCAGTGACCTTGAGTTTTCTTCATCGGAGTCGGGTCCCTGTCTTCCTTAGGCTCCAAGCCTAGGGTTATTTTAGTCTAGGCATAGTTTAGGTCTGAATCTCCTACCCGAGATTGAGCCGCTTTCGGAGGGTGATTGAGTCTGAAGCTCAAGTGCCCCACAGACATTACCCTGGGGGGGCGGGAGGGAAAGGGGTAGAGCCCCCCTTCCTTCCCTCCCCAAGCTCCGCCCCTCATGCATATGCATATAAAAGGCGCCTCTGTCGGTCCGCCCCCTTATTTGCATATGTGAGTCGTGGGTGTCGCAGCCGACCTCGCCACTCCGCAAAGCGCGTTGAGCCTCACTTGTGAAAGCCTCTCCAGGCCCCACCCACCTCGGGTTCTTACTCGCAGACTCTCCGTGCCTCCGGCCCCGCCCCTTGGGCGGCCGCGCACGACTGTGCGCCGGTGAAGCTCGACGGCGGAGGGGCGGAGCCTTGGAGAAGACCCGCCCATTGGTCCCGCCCCGACTCCTCCCGGCGCGCAGGCGCTGCCCGCCCCCTGTCTGATTAGCATAGGGCTGCGGGCCCCACCCCCTGCTTTGCATGCGCTCCGCCGGCCCCGCCCCCGCTGTCAGCTGGAGGAAGCGGAGTAGGAAGCGGCCGCGATGTCCTTTTGTGTCCTACAAGCAGCCAGCGGCGCCGCCGAGTGAGGGGACGCGGCGCGGCGGGGCGGCGCGGCCCGAGGAGGCGGCAGAGGAGGGGCCGCCCACGGCCCCCGGCTCACCCCGGCGCTCCGGGCCGCTCGGCCCCCATGCCTGCCCGCCAGCGCTGCCGGAGCCCCAGGTCCGGGGGCGGAGGGGAGCGCGGCCGCGGGGGTGGGCGGGCGGGCGGGGCGCGGGGGCCATGTGCGAGCGCGGCCGGGAGGCGGGCGGGGGGCGGGCTCCAGGCGGGGTCCGGCGTCAGGGCCCGCCCGGGGCCGGTGAGGAGAGCCAGACCCGGCTGAGGGTCTAGGCGGAATCCGGCGTCCGGGTCCCGGGCGGGCCGGCCTGGTCGGCAGCGGTCTCGGGCTGCGGCTGCGGCTCCGGTCAGCCTGGGGCCTGGGATCCAGCCCCGGGGCAGGGTTGCGTGGGGCACCCTGAGCCTCTGGGGCGGCTTGGGTGGAAGATGGGGAGGGCTCTCGGTGGGAGAAGGGGCTCTGAAGACCACGTGGGGGCGCTCGAAGGGGCCTTGGGCCACCCTCCTCTCTAGGTCAAAGGTCATCGCACCGACGGGGGAGAACTTCTTCCTCCTTGGCTCCTCTCCTTTACTTCCTGATAACCTGAGCGAGGTCCCCCGCGGGCGGAGGAGGAGGGGAGGCCAGCAACTTTAGGCAACTTCCCATAGGTGTGCGCAGGTTGGGGGGGGGGCGGGGCGCCCGGGGAGGTGGCGGGCTCTGCGGCTGCGGGAGTGTTTGAGTGAGTTGCAGGCCCGGGGTGCAAGGAGGTGGAGCCGCGACCGACCGGTGGTGTGGCTGAGGCTTGGGCATGCTGGGGCAGGAGGGGGGAGCCTGTACAACTGTCTGCCTGTGCGCGAAGTTGGAGCTCCGGTGAGTGTGTGTGTGCGATCGAGTAGGAGACTTGAGTGTGAATGTGCTTATGGAGTGTGCCCTTTGGGAGGAGGTTGTGAGGATGGGGTTGGTGAAGGCTCTGGTTTGAGTGTGGAAGTCTCCTGAAGAGTGAGCATGTGTGGACTTGCGGGGACACCTGAGACGTAGGTGAGTGGGGTGAGTGTGAGCACCGCCCTGGGGCTTGTGTGTTCTTTGGAATAGAGAGAATAGGAAGATGGGGAGGGGAGTTATCCCCAACATCTGGAAGAAGTGGCTGGGAGGTATCACTTCTGGCTGGGGGGTTCTACGTGAAGTGGAAGGTTGCCCTGGGGGCTGAGGTTACCTTGCTCCCTGACCTGAGTGCTGAGCAGGGAGGACTTTGCAAGCCTTTTCCAGGTTCCCAAGAGGGAGAGACCTGCTGTCAGTTAAGGGCCTGGAGGCTCTTGAGACTGTTCCCATGGTGACAGCGGGGGCCCTCTTCCTAAGGCTGCCCTTCCTTGGACTCTGCCCCCCTCCCTCCCCTTGGCTGAGCTTGGAAGCCTGGCCCAGGCCCAGTGTTGGGCAACCCCTGTGGCAGGGTGCCTTTCCGTAATCTGACGGTTTCTCCCTGCAGGTGACCAGCGCCATGTCCAACCAGGTGGTGGGGATTGAGCCTCTCTACATCAAAGCAGAACCAGCCAGCCCTGACAGTCCAAAGGGTTCCTCAGAGACTGAGACTGAGCCCCCTGTGACCCTGGCTCCTGGTCCAGCCCCAGCCCGCTGCCTCCCAGGGCACAAGGAGGAGGAGGATGGGGAGGGGGCTGGGCCTGGTGAGCAGGGCAGTGGGAAGCTGGCACTCAGCTCCCTGCCCAAACGCCTTTGCCTGGTCTGTGGGGACGTGGCCTCCGGCTACCACTATGGTGTGGCGTCCTGTGAGGCCTGTAAAGCCTTCTTCAAGAGGACCATCCAGGGTGAGCCCCCACCCCACTTCTGTGCCCTTTGCTCCATACCTGTTGGGCTCATTAACACCTTCCAACGGGTTCACTAGGCCTTGAGTCTGCCCTGCAAGGCTTGGCTCAATGTCAGCATTCTGGGGTTCGCAGGCCCCCTGTCCCTCCCTCCTTCCTTTAAGTGAAACAAAGCTAGCAGCACGCGTAGCTGCACTGGAATGGGAGATGAGAAAGGATGGAGGTACCACCTAGGTTTCTGGGTTCTGTAGGTCCAGCACCTTCTACTGTGGCTCTGAACAATCCAAGACCGCTTGTACCTATTCCCAGACTTCATCCTTGCTTCTGGCAGCCGTTGACTTCTCCTGGCATAGAAAATGCTGCTCTTTTCTCCCCAGAGCAGTACCAATATAAAGCAGGGTTTTAATGGCCGAGAAGGGTATGTTGCATTTTAGCATCCAACTTTAAAAAGATGGGCATCCAGGCTCTTTAAAAGTCACTGTATGTTTTCCTTCTTTGAAGACAGGATCTTCAAAAGGTTCCAGGTTGGCCTGGAACTCTTGATCTTCCTCTCTCAGCCTCACAAAGGCTGAGATTATAGGCATACACTACAGCACCTGGGTTAACTTTCCCCCCCTTCCCCTTGAGTGCTTACTGTGTGACAGATACGGTACCCTTTTACTTCTATGTCTAGTCCCCCTCCCCGCCCCCAGCAACTCCATGAGGTGTTAGCATTGTAAGCAGAGTCAGACCTGAGACTCAGAGAGGTTTTTGAAACTTTGTTAGTGTCTCACAGGTAGAAAGGCAGAACTAGAGTTTGGTGTCTGTCCAGAGCTGAGCTCTTTGATGCTAGCCAGACTGCTATTCTGCCTATTACTAATAACTGGACTTTAGACTCCTGATTGTGACATTCTAGCCAGTTTTGATTTGGCTGAAACACATGGGCCTCAATGCTCTGTGTTCCTTGCTGGCCTGACAGCCATTCAGGCCACATCTGGGTGTCTTCTGCCACTCTGGAATTCTTCATTCTGAGTCCGGACAAATAGTTATTGAGCCCTAGCTATGCAGAGTCAGCATTCATTGGGCACTTAAGTGCTGCAAATCATTTTCAACCCACCTTTGCAATAACTATGGTTATTTCTCTCTCTCTCTCTTTCTCTTTATGCTGATACTGAAGCTTGAACTCAGGGTCTTACACTCTTGCTTAAGTCTTTTTGCTCAAGGCTAAGGCTTTATTACTTGAGCCACAGCTCCACTTTAGCTTTTTGCTGGTTAGCTAGAGATAAGAGTCTTTGGTTGGCTTTGAATCAAGATCCTCAGATTATTTTTTTTGAGGGGGAGTCAGTCGTGGGGCTTGAGCTCTGGGCTTGGGTGCTGTCCCTGTGCTCTTCAGCTCAAGGCGAGTGCTTGAGCCACAGTGCCACTTCCGGTTTTCTAATGGTTTATTGGAGGTAAGAGTTTCATGGACTTTCCTGCCCGGGCTGGCTTTGAACCGCGATCCTCAGATCCCAGCCTCCTGAGTAGCTAGGATTACAGGTGTGAGCCACCGATGCCCGCTACTGCTTTTGTTTCTTTTCTTATTGGTGCTAGGGATTGAACTCAGAGCCTCTTTGGTGCATAAGTATGTGTTCTACCCCCTGAGCTACATCCTAGACCCAAGTATAAATTTGGAATAAGAAAAATTCCAATTTTACAGCTGGGAAAACTGAGGTCCCAAAGGGGTTAGGTGTGGGACATGGCTAACTAGTCAGAGTTGGGAAGTGGTAGCTTCAGGGTGACTCCAGGAAGCCCCGAGACTTTGCTCCTCAAATCTGCACTTTGCAGCCCTGGCCAGTATTCTAGGCCCTGGGGACACTACTGGGACCAGGCAGGAGGAAACAATAAATGGCTTTCCTAACAGCTTTCCTGTTTGGATGTTGTGTGTGCTAAAGGCCCTGTGTGGACCCAGGGCTCCCCCTGAGGAGGTGTCTGGAACGGAGTTCAGGAGCACACTAGGAAGTACTTCGTGCTCACCGGCCCGTTGGCTGGTTGTGACATTGGGTTCTTGGGGTAACCGTGTGGCTGGGAGGTCCACCCGCGCCTACTGTGGGCCAGGCCATGTTGCGGGCCCTGGGGCCAGCCAAGGCCCTGGTGGAGCAAATACTGAAGCAGGGAGAGAGGGACACTTGTGGTGAGTGGGTTCCCATGTAGTAGTATATTAGGTGGTTCCTAAGAGCTGAGGGGAATCTGGCTGCAGAAGGGATTTAGTTTTGTCACAGTGGCCTGGGAAGGCCCAGTGACAAGGAGCCTGGTGGGCGTCACAGAGCTCCAGGCAGGGAGCAGCATGCCCTGTTGGAGGAATATGGAAGAGGGAGGAGAGGTCAGGAGAGTCAGGGAGCCGGGGTGCAGGCCCTGAGCTGCAGGCTCACTAGGTGGTTTGAACAAAGAAAGGACAGGATCCCTCTGGCTGTGCGGAGAGCAGGGACCGGAGGAGGCCAGTGAGGTGAGAGGTGACCATGACATCAAGGGTAAAAGCAGTTGCTGAGTACATAAGTTGGGATTTGGGTGACAGAGTAAAGCTCCCCCTACCCCTTCCTGATTTGCCAGTGGTTTGGATGGGGGGTGTATGTGTGTCAAGGAGGTTCAAGATGCTGCCCAAGTTTCTACTTGAACAAGAGAAGGAAGGCAGCTGCTAGCTGGGCAGGGGAGGTGGAAGTCCATTAACATGAGGCTGGAAAAATCTTCAGGTAGACAGGATGCTCACAGAGCTGCTGGACACGGGAGTCTAGAGTTCAGGGCAAGTCTTGGCCAGAGATAGAAATCTGGAAGTCTGTGATCTGTAAGATTGCCACGAGAGGGTGGAGGGAATGAGGATGAGGTAGACCAGCCCTGGGCTGCTTAGAGAGCAGCATGGAAACCACAAAATAGCCAGGGAGGTGGGAGGAAGACCAGAAGAGTGATGTCTAGAAGCAAGAAGGAAGTATTGGTGTATTTCTAGGAGTTGGACACGATCAATGGTATTAGATGTTCCTTTTAGGCAAGTAAGTTGAAGACTCAAAATTGGCCATTGGACCAGTGTATAGAGGTCACTGTGGCCCTTGACCAGAGCAGATGAGGGCAGTGTGGCCCAGAAGCATGGCTTGAAGCAGAGATGCAGCTGCCTGGGCCCTGCCCTTCCCCTGTCCAGGCAGTCCCCCTCCCCCCCAGCCCCTGTCCAGCAGCCATCTCCCTCCCTGTCCTGCTCATGGCATCCTGCTCTCCCTTTCCTCCCCGTACCCCCCCAGACTGGTGCTTGCTCGGGGCAAGTCAGGGCACTCCTGTCAGCTGGGCCCCCTCTGGGCCCCAGGAGGCCGCCACTGGAGCCCTGCCTCTTCCTGGCAGGGAGCATCGAGTACAGCTGTCCGGCCTCCAACGAGTGTGAGATCACCAAGCGGAGACGCAAGGCCTGCCAGGCCTGCCGCTTCACCAAGTGCCTGCGGGTGGGCATGCTCAAGGAGGGTGAGCGCTGGGCAGGGGCTGGGGGAGGTGTGCTGGGCAAAGCCTGGGCAAGGGCTCTGGCACACAGGCCTGCCCTATCTCAACACAGTCCTGACTTACAATTAAAGGGGTACGCCTGGACCGCGTCCGGGGTGGGCGACAGAAGTACAAACGGAGGCCAGAAGTGGATCCTCTGCCTTTCCCAGGCCCCTTCCCTGCAGGCCCCCTGGCAGTAGCTGGAGGCCCCCGGAAGACAGGTGAGATCTCTGAGGAAAGGGGGTCTTTAGAGCATGAGAGGAGGGCGGCCCTGTATGGCATCAGTCTGGGCGCTATACCCATATTTCACTTTCCTCATTTCACTTATTTCCCTAAAAACTATTTGTGCAATTTGTCTTCAGATGACACCAAGTAGTAGACTTGGGACCAGACAGTTGCAGTCCAGCCTGAGGGTAGACTTAGCAGGCAGTGCCTGTCTACCAGCAGGCTGACTTTCCCCTGGAGCCTGGGAGCATTGCTCCTGGCGGGCCAGCAGCTATGGAGGAAGGCCGCAAGGCTTGAGAAGACACCTGGCCCTGAGGGACCTGTGGGCCTACAAGATCCCAGCGCGTGTGACTTTCATCTTTCACCTGTCACTGTAGCCCCAGTGAATGCGCTGGTGTCTCACCTGCTGGTGGTGGAGCCTGAGAAGCTGTATGCCATGCCTGACCCAGCGGGCCCTGACGGACATCTCCCAGCAGTGGCTACCCTCTGCGACCTCTTTGACCGAGAGATTGTGGTCACCATCAGCTGGGCCAAAAGCATCCCAGGTAATGGGCTCAGGGAACCTGGGGCTTCCCTGAGCAGGCCTGGCCGTGCTTGGCTGCGGTGCGCTTGCTCAGTCAGGCCTGTTCCCACTGCGCTTGCTCAGCCAAGCCTGCTCCCACCGCCCTCCAGGCTTCTCGTCACTGTCGCTGTCTGACCAGATGTCAGTACTGCAGAGCGTGTGGATGGAGGTGCTGGTGCTGGGGGTGGCCCAGCGCTCACTGCCCCTGCAGGATGAGCTGGCCTTTGCAGAGGACTTGGTCCTAGATGAAGAAGGAGCACGGGCAGCCGGCTTGGGAGAGCTAGGGGCAGCCCTGCTGCAACTCGTCCGGAGACTGCAGGCCCTGCGGCTCGAGCGAGAGGAGTATGTCCTGCTGAAGGCCCTGGCCCTTGCCAATTCTGGTGAGTCAAGGGTAGGCGCCCACACATTCAGAAAGCCCTCTAACTGTAAACCTTGTTATAATGGTGGGATAGTCCCATTTTACAGATCAGGAAACTGACGCTTAGAGAACAGTGTGCTGATATTGGGGCTTGAACTTGGAGGCTGGTGCTGTCTCTTAGTTATTAGCTCAAGGCAAGCGCTCTACCACTTGAGCCATAGTGCCACTTCCAGTTTTCTGAGTTGATTATGGGAGATAGAGTCTCTCGGACTTTCCTTGCCCGGACTGGCTTTGAACCGTGATCCTCAGATCTCAGCCTACTGAGTAGCTAGGCTTACAGGCGTGAGCCACTGGCGCCCGCAGCTCCACTTCTTTTTGCTGGCTTATTTGCATTGGATTTTTCTGCTTGGGCTGGCTTTAAACTGAGATCTTCAGATCTTAGCCTTCTGAGTAGCTAGGATTATGGGAGTAAACCACCAGCATGTAGCTCACATCAAGATTGCAAGCCCTAGTGTAGTGCTAATGTGGGAGAAGAGGTGGAGAGGACAGGAAGTGGCCATAGTTGAGAGAAAAGGAAAGGCCCTGGCTGTGGGCAGGAGCAGGAAGCTGTGTCTATCAGCTAATCAGTGAATATTTGACCTCTCAGGCCCCATCCAGGAGCCCCAGGTAGAGGTTGGCTCAGACCTTTACAGAAATAGCCCATGTCAACAATTCTCTTCCTCAGATTCTGTGCACATTGAAGATGCTGAGGCTGTGGAGCAGCTACGAGAAGCTCTGCATGAGGCCCTGCTGGAGTATGAAGCTGGCAGGGCTGGCCCTGGAGGGGGTGCAGAGCGGCGGCGGGCAGGCAGGCTGCTGCTCACATTGCCACTCCTCCGCCAGACAGCTGGCAAAGTCCTGGCCCATTTCTACGGGGTGAAGCTGGAGGGCAAGGTGCCCATGCACAAGCTGTTTCTGGAGATGCTTGAGGCCATGATGGACTGAGGCGAGGGGTGGGATGGGTGGGGTGCTGGCAGATCTGCCCAGGGTGGGGACAGCCCCCAGGGGGCAGAGCTGGGGCCTGGGCAGTGCCACAGCCTGCTGGCAGGGCCAGGGCAATGCCATCAGCCCCTGGGAGCAGGTGCCATGCCCTTCCCCTCCCCCTTTAGGGGGTGTCAAGCTGGGAAAGTAATGCCCGGATCTGGGCACAGTGCTGCCCCTTGCAAGCCATAACGTGCCCCTAAGAGAATAGGGGGCCTTGCGGAAGCCATAAGGGGCTTCAGGGGATGTGTGGGAGGCAGAAACCCAATCTCAGGGAGGGAAGGGGATGGAGGCCACAGTCTCCCAGTGGGTGATGCTTTTGCTGCTGCTTAATCCCATCCCCCTCTCCAGAGCAGAGGGGGATTTGGAGAGCAAAGGCCCCTGCCCCTTCGCTCCTCTCCTCATCATTTGCATTGGGCATTAGTGCCCCCCCCCCTTGAAGCAATAACTCCAAGCAGGCTCCAGCCCCTGGACTCTTGGGGTGGCCAGGGCTCCCCATCAGCTCCTGCCCAGCCTCCTCAGGGGGTGGGGAGGGCACTGCCTCTATGCCCTGCAGAGCAATAACACTATATTTATTTTTGGGTTCGGCCAAGGAGGCGCAGGGACATGGGGCAAGCCAGGGCCCAGAGCCCATGGCTGTACAGAGACTCTATTTTAATGTATATTTGCTGCAAAGAGAAACCGCTTTTGGTTTTGAACCTTTAATGAGAAAAAAATATATACTATGGAGCTCAAGATGTGTGTTCCTTGTGTTAATGGGTCAAAGTTGGGACTCAAATAGTAAAAACACAATATACATTAAAAAAAGAAATAGATACACAGGGCCATGGAATGTCACACTGCTAGCTGGCAAATTTATGACTCAGTTTCGTCATCATTCAGCAGCATGTTGGGGATCCCACGGCTGATAGGGAACAGACGCCCCGATTCTGGGCACTGCAGGGTGCCCTCCAGAACGTCCACCTAAGGGAGGGGGAAAGGGAAGCCAAAGTGAGCACTGACAGCCTCTGGGAGCCAGGACAGGGCAAGCGCGTGGCGACCCATTCGACCCATTCTCACCTCCAGCAATACGTGGTGCATCTTCCTTAGAAACGCCTCATCGCGCTCATACCCCTCAACCGGCTCGGTGGGGACCTCGCCCAGCTGCAACTGTGGGCAAGAAACCTCAGTCATCTGTGGGGGCCCCCCTACCCTTCCTCCAGCCAGGCTCCCGCCGGCTCCCGGGGCGGCGGTGAACCTGCCCCGCGTCCGAGGGCAGGACGGGCCCCTCACCGTATTGGCCGCCTCCCGAAGCGCCGCCCACTCCACCTTGGGTATCATCCGCGCCACGAAGTCGGGGTTGAACTCCACAGGGTTGATGCGGACCTCGGTGGCCTGGGGGGGGGGGCGGAGAGGGTTAGCATGGCAGAGGCAGGATCCAGGGGTTTCTACCCCTCCCGGAAGGGAGAAAGCGTGGGAGCGTCCCGGCCGGTACCTGGAGGCGCAGGGGGAAGCCACGGGGCCCCACCCCCCGCACATGCGAGGTCAGGAGATTGTGGGTGAGAAGCTTCATGCCGCTCTCCGAGATCTTGCCAGGCCGGAACCGGAAAGAGACGCGCTTCACTCGCGTCACTTCCGGAACCATTTGCGCGCACGCGCGCTCTCTACATTATTGGACCTGCGGGAAGACCGGAAGTGGCGAACTTGCTGGAACTTCTGGAGCTTGCTGGAGCTCTGGTGTGGGAAAGCGCTGGTCGGGTCACGCGCTGTTCCCGGAAGCATTTCGGTGGGAGGTTGGAATGGCGCATGCCAAAACCTACGTGAAGATGAAGATGCAAATCATATGTAAAACAGCTGCAATGCAGAGGCCGAGTTGCACCTAAAATAAACATGCCTTCAGCCTACATTATCTGTAGGCTGACACTGTCTATTTCCGTCCTTTTGCTTTTAGCTAAGGGAGGGAAACTGCCCCATGTGTAAATTAAACCTTTAAAACAGAAGCACCCCGTTGCGTACAAATAAGTTGAGTGACTGCCAGAGGCTCCGCCCCCTGGGTGAAAGCGTCACCGCGCAGCCCCTAATGCAAATGAGTTCAGCGTCCCGGGAGGTCTGTTGCGCCTGCGCAGTGCGAGCGACCCTCCGGGGCGGGGCGGACGAGGCCCCGCCCGCTCGAGGCCCCGCCCGCTCGAGGCCCCGCCTCCCGCCGGTCCGTCCTTCGGAGGCGCAGCGCCGGGTGGGCGGGCATGGGGCTGTCCTGGCTACGAGTCCTCGGTCGACAAACCAGCCCGGTACTGCTGAGTCGTGCGTCTGCCTTTGAGTTCCCGGCTGCGGGACCGCGAACGCGAAGAGGAGAGTGGCAGCGTGGCGGGACCCGCTGTTTCCACCGAGCTGCGGTAGCCATGGCCCCGATCAAGGTGACCGCTAACCCCTGCCCCCGTCTCCCCATTCCGCCCCCTGCCTGCCGCCGCGTCCGGCGCCTCCTGCCGACCGCCCTTCACCCCTCGGTTCTCGTCCACGTTAGCGCCCTCGCGCCCCTTCTCCTAAGACCCCTGCCCCTCCTCCCCTGCCGCCCACCGTGCGACACCACGGCGGCCCCCGTGCTTTTAGGCGGTTGAATATACCATGGCATTCTTCACCTTCCTAGAAGCATCTTGACCGCAGAACCCCTTTTCAGTCTCTTCTACATGTCTTCCCATGCTTTTCTGATGGTATCTCTACTTCACCCCATTTTCTGAGACAGCTGTGGTCCCTTGGAGCGCCCAGCGTGTCTCCCGTGTTAGCTCATGACCACCCCCATGGCGGATCCCGCTGTTCTGTGGTGTCTTTCACCCATCTTCTGGACCCTCCCTGTTCCTGGGACCTTCCCCTTCTCTCCACCCTCTTCTGAGTCCCCCCCACCTCCCCCACACACCGTTTACTTTATCTTGCTCAAGCTCGGAGGACACCCTCTTGTCGGTCCCCCTCATCTTCTCATTCTATGCACAGCTCTCTGCCCCCCTTCCCATTTAATCCACTTTTTCCACTCAAGCTGGCGCTCTACCACTTGAGCCATAGCTCCACTTCCAGAGTTTTGCTGGTTAATTGGTGATAAGAGTTTTGGACTTCTCTGCCCTTGCTGACTTGAAACTTCTCACCGGGCACTGGTGGCTCATGCCTGTAATCCTAGCTACTCAAGAGTTAGGCTAAAACCTGAGGGTTGCAGTTCAAAGACAGCCCCTGTAGGAAAGGAAAGTCTGTGAGACTCTTTTTGGTTGGTCTAGAGGCTTGAACTATGGGCCTGGGCGCTGTCCCTCAGCTCTCCAGCTCAAGGCTAGCACTCTACCACTTGAGCTACAGCACCACTTCTGGTTTTCTGGTGGTTTGTTGGAGATAAGCGTCTCATGGTCTTTCCTGCCCAAGCTGGCTTTGAACTGTGATCCTCAAATCTCAGCCTTCTGAGTAGCTAGGATTACAGGCGTGGGCCACCAGTGCCAGGCTCCTGAGACACTTATTTCCAGTTAATCACAGAAAAAGCCGAAAGTGGTGCTGTGGCTTAAGCGATAGAGTGCTAGCCTTCAGCAAAAGAAGCTCAGAGACAGTGCCCAGGCCCAGAGTTCAAGCCCTGGGACTGGCAGAAATAAACAGACATAAAAAGCTTCTAAGATCTCAGCCTCCTGAGTAGCTAGGATTACAGGCATGAGCTTCAGGTACCCAGTTTTAATCCACTGTTTTAAGAAACTAGGCCTTTTGTTTGCACAGCATTGCAACATTTGGGGTGGTGACTCCCTTTCTCTGCTGTCATCTACAGTCCTTCAGATGGAGCAGGGCCTCCTTGAAACCTGGAGGATGTGGAGTAATGTTGACAATGTGGGAGGGACCAGGGAGGGACTCCTGACCTGTTAGCCTTTGCCTGCTGGGTTTCCAGGCACTAGCCTGTGTGTTCCCCTGGCTGGCGTTTGCTGCACCTCCCTCAGGACCCCCTTGCTTCCAGGTAGGAGATCCCATTCCCTCCGTGGAGGTGTTTGAAGGGCAGCCTGGGAATAAGGTGAACCTGGCTGAGCTGTTCAAGGGGAAGAAGGGCGTGCTGTTTGGAGTCCCTGGGGCGTTTACCCCAGGCTGTTCCAAGGTGAGGCTCCTCAATGGGATCAATAATCAGGATCTTCTATATTGTTCTTAGAGCTGTGTGGTGCTGAGACAACTGGGCACAAGAATACATAGATTGGACAGTTGAGAAAGCATTTTAGAGCCAGGTGCTGGTGGCTCAGGCTTGTAATCGTAATTACTCAGGAGGCTGAGATCTAGAATCATGGTTCAAAGCTAGCCCAGGCAGGAAAGTCCATGAGATTCTTATAATTAATTAACCACCAGAAAACTAGAAGTGGCATTGTGGCTCAAAGTGGTAGAGCCAAAGAGCTCAGGAATAGAGCCTGGGCCCTGAGTTCAAGCCCCATGGCCAACAAAAAAGAGAGCATTTTAGGTGACAGTGCCAGCCTTGCACAGGAGGACTGCAGTTGTGTCCTCCTAAACCGCTTACTAATTCTTGGGGGTGGGGGTAGGCACTGTGGAGGTACTTCGGACTGAGGCAAATGAGCCATAGTTCTGCCCATGGAAAGTTCATGGTCTTGACCACAAGACATGTGAATCTGTGCTCCTTAGTAGCTAAAGCAGAAAGGATTTTCATTGCCTGATGAGAGGGGTTGATCAGAGAAGGGGGGAGGATGAAGGGTGGGCTGAGGAGCACATGCACTTATCCCTGTGATGACTCTGTTTCCCCTTCTTAGACCCACTTGCCTGGATATGTGGACCAGGTCGGGGCTTTGAAGGACAAAGGTGTGCAGGTGGTAGCATGCCTGTGTGTGAACGATGTCTTTGTGACTGGAGAGTGGGGACGTGTGAATAAGACAGAAGGCAAGGTAAGGCTTGGAGCCTGCAGGGGCTGGGGCTGGGTGGGAGGTTTAGGTTATAACTTTTCTCTCTGTCCTTCAGATTCGCCTCCTAGCTGACCCTACTGGGGCCTTCGGGAAGGTGAGTCAGTCCCAGCCCCAACTGGGTTTGGAAGCGGGCAATCCCGGAAACATTCTTTTTTTTGGGGGGGGGGGTCTGGTCATGGGGCCTGAACTCTGGGCCTGGGCACTGTCCCTCAGCTCTTCAGCTCAAGGCTAGCTCTACCACTTGAGCCACAACGCTACTTCCGGCTTTTTTCTTTTTGCTTATGTGGTGCTGAGGAATTGAACCCAGGGCCTCTGGCATGCAAGGCAAGCGCTCTACCACTTAGCCACCTTCCCAACCCCCCGGAAACATTCTTGACAGATTTCTCTGCTTTTCCTCTAGGAGACAGATTTGTTACTAGATGATTCCATGGTGCCCCTCTTTGGGAATCGCAGGCTCAAGAGGTACCGTGGGGGTTTCCCCGGGACCCTCGTCTACCTCAGAGCCAGGCTGATACAGCTAGCCGCTCCCTCTTTCTGGCAGGTTCTCCATGGTGATAGAGGATGGAGTAGTGAAGATCCTGAACATAGAGCCGGACGGCACAGGCCTCAGCTGCAGCCTGGCTCCCAACATCCTCTCCCAGCTCTGAGCCTGGACCACAGGCTCTCCATGTGCCCAGGCAGCCCCGCCTCACCTAGAGCCGCCCAGATGGACCCTTGGCCTGATGCCTGCAATAAATACTCTACCTTCAGTCTGTTTTTGCTGTGGAATCAATGCTTGGCACAGGGCCTCAGGGCATAGTCTCAGGCCGAGAGGCTGGGAAGGCTGGGGGGTCAGGGGAGGGGAGAGGCGGGTCCTTAAGGAGAGCTGGGTCAGGCCTCGGGCAGGCTATGGAACTCCATTGTAGCCTAGAAGCCTAGACAGAGCCAGTGTTGCCTGTAACCCATCTCCAAGAAGCACAGCGGTTGCCAGGCCTGTGCCAGCACACCTCGACCTTTCATGCTTGGTCTGGTAGATCTCAGGACAGGACCTTTGGCTTTAGACCTCCCCCAGCCCCAGCCCCCAGCAGTGTTTACACTGGGAGGGAGCAGTAATGGCCTGGTCCAGGAGGCTGGTGGAGTGGCTAGAAGCCTGGGATAGCCTGGGCCCCAGGGCAGCCTAGGGAAGCCCTGCTGTGGTAAGTGACTGTCCCCAGGGGGAGGACACTTGCAGAGCCACTGCTGGCAGGTGAGGTGCACACTGGTGCTGTCCTCCAGCTGGGGAGCACGGACTCAGTCGGCAGGTCCCTTGGGTCTGTGTCGCTGAGCTCGTGGAGGTTCTGCGGCAAGCCACAGGCAGGAGGCCGGCTAGGAAACACCGGGCCACTTGAGCTACATCCTTGGCTCTGGGTAGTTGTTTACTTAGATCATCTCTCCCTGTCTCTCTGTCTCTGTCTCTCTGTCTCTCTCTGACAGTTCTAAGATTTGAATTCAGTTCCTCACATTTGTTAGGCAGGCATTATTTCATTTGAATTTGAGATATATTCTGTTCTGTATCCTCTTAGTTATTTAGTTATTTTAGTTATTTTTGAGATAGAGTCTTGTACTTTTCCTCCAGGGCCAGCATGAGACTCTGGTCCTCCCACTACGGCCTCCTGTCCTCCCATGTAACTGGAGGATTACAGGTACAAGCTACCACATCGGGCTCACTGCTTGAGATGAAGTGTTTGTCTGGGCTTGCCTCACACCATGT